TGATATCAAATTACTTGACACAGGATAAAGCATACAATAAACGGTGACTAACTCACATTACAAAGATTGCAGCATGGCATTTTGAGCTCAAATCACCTTCTTCTCACCGCACACATAGAATTAAGAAACACTTTGCCGGTTTTGCGAAACCTCACGGAAATGAACCTTGGTCGCCCCCGACTCTGTATTGCTCTTCTCTGTACGCTATTTTATCCACCTCGTGTCAAAGCCGTACATTCTCGTATCAGATCTAACAATAGGACTAATAGGATCTGTCTTCTGTAATGTCTTCAACACGAAATTGAACCTTAAAGTGCTGTTTTCCAATTTTTGTAGGAACTTATTCAAAATTAAAACGCAATTTAACAAATTCGACAACTACGACGCTAATATTATTGTTTTCAGATGATTCGGCAAAAACATTGAGAAGTGAGCAGGTTTAGGTAGCTGTCGCGTTATCAGTCAGGGGCGTATTAAATAAATTATTATATATTTATCGATATTTAAGAGAAACATTATGTTACAAGCTTTTGTTTTCTTCAAGATAGTCTTTTTAAGATTTTCTTTTTTTACTTGTATCAGTATCTGGTTATTAACTATAAAGTCAAGTCAAATCGATGTTATTGAACGATTTCATAAAATAGTGCAAATAAACATTATATTATGCACCTTGGTATATAACCTAATGGTTGATATTATAGGAATCTGAGCCAAAAACCGTTGATAAATAATAATAAACAAATAAACTGACATCACAGCTATTTGTGATATTGAGGAAATCTGGCTTCATAGCAGCACTGTAATAAAAAGGAGGTTCGAAAGCATAATTTTTTTTAACTGTGATTAAATGTTTAGCATGGAAGTGAGACATATTAATATGTAATGCTACTTGCTAAGCTGGTACTAAACAATATTTAGTAAGGACACTAAAATATAAAATCTTCGGACTATTATATTAAACATGAATTTTCATTGATCAGTTACCAGATTTCAATTTTTTTAAAACACCTAATTAAAAACAAAATCCTGTCTAGAAAGTATTTATTTTTACTTACACTTTACTTCATATCTTTTAGATGTTTTACATTTTTAAGCTGTTAAATACTTTTTTTTAGTACGCTTCATCATTTTCTATATATTTCTTGGAAAATGAGTAAATGCATATACCTTGCCGGATACTATTTCCGGTTAGTTTATTCACCTCTAAATAATTGGGGCAAAAGCTTAGAATTCAAATATTACATTTCAAAACCTCTTTGTTACAAAAATATTATTGGGCCCAAATTTTGTTTAATTTTAATAAAAAATACAATAATTTTAATAAACATCATTTAATTCTTTTCGCAGTTTTCCTTATAGTCATGTTATATGACTGTTCTGACCAACGAAGTTATGTCCTGGATCAATGAAAGCATCAAGAAGAGTAGATGTAGTTTCCACAAGAACGATTTTATATTACAATGAGCTTCTCTCGGCTTCTACGACTTTTTACCATATCCACAACGTTTATATATTTGTTGCGTGTCTTGTGTACACTTCGGATGTGGAAAAAAGCTCGTACGAGGCAAAAAGGCGAAATATGTTGGTTTAAAGTTCCATGGAGCGGAAATATCCCGGAGAGCGTATAAAAAGGGTAGGCAACATACAAATCATCTGCAACCAAAAGGGGGATTAAAAAGTAACAGATGTGGGTTTCGTATTTCGACTTCTTTACACTGTTTAAATTCCTGTGTGAAGTTTCACATATAAATGATACCATCTCAAAGTAAAATGTCAACTGGTACACGGGAAAAAATGTTCCTGCTATAAAATGGACATTTTATTCAACTTATTTAAGATCAATAAATGAAGTTTCAATTCAGAGATAAAGTTTATTTTATTTTATAAATACTAAAAATATTCTTGTTACAGCCAGTTATATCGGTCTCAAGGTGGAGAAATAAAAGACAAAGTTGATAGGCTACTTTATCTATTTTGAAGACGTTTCGCTTTCGTATTCTGACAGCATCATCAGTTCATCTAAAAAGTACAATATGAGAACCACACAATCATGGAGAAGATGTTATAAGTGTTACCTTGAAAAGACATGTAGCAGTCAATGATATTATCAGATTTGTGAGTAAACTCAAGTAAATGGACATTATACGGTAATATTTTATAATATATATATATATATATATATATATATATTATATATATATATATATATATATAATATATATATATATTATATATATATATATATTATATATATATACGAAGAATGATCACAGCTGTCCAATTATTAATTAGTATAATGGTAAGGTTGATTGGGTTAGCAGCTGAATAATGAAAGCCAAAGTGTGCTATTTTCAACGACTTCGCTATATTTCGTTAAATTTCTTTGAACATCTTCAGACGAATGTTGTGTGAGGTTGCAGGCAAAAGTGGTATTTGAAAGTTCCATGTTGAAAAACTTTTTTGAAGATTTTTAATAGCAAAAAAAAGGAATAAGTTGTATGTGTTATATGGTGGCTTGAAAACTCAAACAATACAAGTGCATTTTTGTTATTTTCCTCCAGTGTGCTAGTACAATACAAATATTAAAAAACATTGAACATTTAAAAAACAAAACAGAACACAACTACATATCACATTGTCATTTTTTGGATCAGGTCTAGTCAACCTATGCACAAGGAGGTGGAAAAAGATTTCCAGGAGTCCATACCAGAGATAAGAACAGGTAATTCAAAAGCACTAAAATTCGTAGATAATAATTGGATAATAATTGTGGTTAAATTTGAGGTTACACCAGAAACATGGAAGGAATATGTAAGACATGCAGAAGATATCATAAATGAATACTGGGAGACGGCCAAAAAAATTGATGCCAGCCACATCTCGTATAATTATTGATTTTAATGAATCAGATACTGAATCAGATTGTGAATTCAGGAATGATATTGAGGAAATATCTTAAACTATTACCTTTATGAATATCTATATGTATTAAAACGGTTCTTTTTAGAACCACATTTTCTTGAAATGTAAGATATAATTGATGCCAGCCACATATCCCCTGTAATCATTGATTTTAATGAATCAGATTCTGAATCGGATTATGGATTGTTTGAAATATAATATTCATTTTTGTTATTCATAAAAAAAGAAGCTAAACTTACATTCGGTATCATAAAAAAAGAAGTAAACTTACATTTTTTAAATTAACTCCATTAACACTATTTCATTTGCATACTGGAACTGGTAGATTAACTCAAAAATCAACTGATTCGCTATTTAAACTATTTACATTGTTTTTTTAACTAAACTTTATAACACTCTTTAATTTTCACACCAAATCTGGTAGAATAACTTAAAAATCAACTGCTTCACTATTTAAACTATTTCCAATATTTAATGATAAATCTTCACAAAATTGAACTATTGGTTGCCACAGAAACTTATCGGAAAATTACTTTTCCGAATATGACTGATTTCAATCGATGCTATTAATTTGTCACAGGAATGTTTGCAGTAAAATTTTTTATCTGGCAGTCAACTCTTAAAAGATTCTAGGAGGAAGCGTTATTTTAAATAAACAAACATTCCAATTCCATAGTGTTTGTAATAAATAATAATAAATCCATAAATAAATCTTAGCTAATTAAGCACTTTCCTTGGAATGTATAGAATAGGAATTATGACAAACTGTCGTTCCAATATAATGCGCAATAAAAATTTATATACAGGACGGGACCCCTAATATGTAAATTAATTTTTTTTTTAATTGTTAAAGTTTTTATTCCATATTAAAACTAGATTTAACTAAAATATCATGCAATAATCCTCGACATTCTTAAAATCCTATATGAGGTCAAAATTAGTGACGCACTGAAAGAAGGGTTTGAGTAGTAGGTTCTACTTTACAGAACATTAACAAAGACAAACGTGACAAATTAATTTTTTTTTTGGTTTCGTTTTAAAACTTTATGCATTTGCACTATTTGTCTCGGATGTGCTTTTATCAAAAACTCAAACTTATAACTCGTTTCTTCGTTCTAATAATATGAAATCAAAGTCTGAACACTCCTTCCTATTTCTTTTATGCTGCAAATGTCCAAACAATCATTCTTATTTCTTTTGAACTGCCAAAGTAACCTTGGCCATGATTCTCCCTTGGACGCTAAATTAGACTTCTTTCAGCCTAGAGAACAAGCTGGATTTATATTGGGATACAGCACTAACGACCACTTACTAGTGAGTAAAAACCTAAAAGAGAATTCTGCAGTATAGAACAAACCGTTGATACATATATTTGTCGACTACGAGAAGCATTCAATATCATAAGCCCTCAGAAAATGTTAAAAGCATTGACAGAATACCGAATAGACCATCGCTACACCAAAATAATTAAATATATCTACCAAAATGCCACAGCTAGCGTAAGACTATCTGAAAGAGAAACAAATAAATTATGTATACAGCGAGGAGTACGGCAAGGAGACACCATCTCTCCAAAGCTATTCGCGATGTTTTTAGAACATACTTGTAAGAAGGCACATCTGAACGAGCATGGTATCAACATAAATGGAGAGAAGATCAGCCATTTGAGATTTGAAGATAATATCCTTCTTATAGTCGGTCGTATGGATGATGCAATAATAAAAATTCCTTAAAATGGAATGGGCAGGACACGTCGCCAGCTTATCAGAAAACCGATGTACAAAACGTAATTTATAGTGAAGGCCAAGACAAGAAGCAATATTTGACTACCTTAAGCGTGTTAGTAATAACTGGATGCAAACCGTACAAAAGAAAAGCAAAATGTTTAACAACACATTCGAGGTAATTTTAAAATAATGTAAAAATTGATATCAAAAAACTGTTTTTAAACGTTAAATCTAATAGGGATTATGCTTTTGTCAGTTCTGGCTTTAGCGAAGATATATATATTTACAATCAAAGTAGGAATAAAATGTAAAGAGACAAAAAACAATTTGTATAAGTTTATGTTTTTATTTATAAATAGTTAAATCTCAATGATGTCCATGCTCATGTTGTCCTGCACTGTGTGATCTAAGGCATTTGAAAAGATTAACAGCAGCATCTTCAGCAGTGTCGCCACTTTTTGTACCGCATTTTTCTACAATTGCGTTTATAACACTTTGGTCGCTACTAGCTTTACTTACAGCTTTTCTAAGGTTGTCTACATTTATGTCACCACTTTCCGTTTGAAGTCCAGTTTGTACGTTCATACATAGAGTATGTTTGGCCAATTTGGGGTTCTGTACTTTCTCGCCATGCTTAAGTTTTTCGAACACATCATCGTCAATTCTAGTTGCTTCCTGGCTTTGACAATGGTCATGAGCTTTTTTGATAGCGTCTATTTGCTCTTTGGTAGGAGCTGCGTATGCCTATGACATAAAAGAAAAATATTATTCACTGTAGTAATACTTAGCAAGAGTAGAACCCTACAAATTATTTCTAATAATATATAAATGTCAAATATTTATTCAATGCAGACTAACTTCAATTCTAAATACAGAACTTGAGGAAGATGAGAATTGGCAAGAAGATGAAGAAGGGACGTGTGAGAACCCAACTCTGAATGAAGTAAAAGACATAATATGGGACCTAAAAGATAACAAAAGTGCAGAAGAAAGTGTTATCCCAGCTGAGAATTTTAAGGAAGGTAGCAAAAGATTAAAGGAAAGGATATTCCACTTGACACTAATCATTGACAAAACTAAAAATGTATAAACAATGGAATAGTGCTTTTTATTTGTCCTAGCTATAAAAAGGAGAAAAAACAGAGTGCGAAAACTATGGCGCTATTAGAAGTAGTCTATAAAATACTTGCAAAAATTATTAGGAAAAGATTAATAAAATATGATAACAAAGTGATTGGAGAATACCAGGGAGGTTTTAGATCAAGAAGAACAACTACTGATCAAAAAAGAATGTTAATTAATACAAAATAATAGCTATGAACAAAAATGCTATTTATCGATTTTGAACAAGCATATGACTCTCTAAATCGAACGATGCTATATGAGGCCATGAGAAGATTAGAAATACGAAAAAAGCTTATAAGGCTAGTCATAATGACACTTAGGAATACGATGAATAGGGTTACAATAAAAGGAAGCTTTTCAAGACAATTCGCAGTAAATAGAGGTATAAAACAAGGGGATCCGCTATCAACGAATTTATTTAACCTAGTATTAGAAGAAATCGTAAGAACCAGGACTATTTCAATAGCAGGGAACAGTGCATAGCGTATGTCGATGTGTTGATACTAGCGAGAACAAAGAAACATTTAGAAAAAGTTTTCAAGTAAGTTGAAGGAGAAGCAAAAATATACGGATTAATAATAAATCAAACAAAAACGCAATATATAAAAAAATGGGAAGAGACATAACTAATAAATCAAAATGAAAGGAGCAGAGACCGTCTTTAGTTATGAAAAAGTGTCAGAATTTGAATAATTAGGAGTAACCATAACGAGCACTGGGGGTCGCCCAGTGCTCGTTATAGTTACTCCTGATTGATCCGGATTCGCCGTGGGGCCGCCAAGGGTGTATTTTATCACCCTTGTTATTCAATTTATACAGTGAAGCCATCTCAGAATTAGCGCTTGCCGAGATCAGTGAGGGCCTTATAATAAACGGTGAGCCACTTAAGAACATAAGATATGCTGACGACACCGTCCTTCTGGCAGGAACACTAGAAGAACTTCAACACCTTGCTGAACAACTAAATATATATTGCAACAATTATCGACTAAAAATCAATTTGAAGCAAACCAAGTTCATGGTATTTACAAAAGCATAAAACATCAAAGTTAAGCTAGTACTAGATAATACAGAAATTGAACAAATATTTTCGTACAAATACCTTGGAGCAGGGATCACAGAAGATACTGATCAGACAAAATGCATGCATGATGCCGCATTGAAATTGCGCGGTCAACTTTTAATAGAATGAGAAAACTTTTTTGTAATCGCGATATCAATATATCGCTCCGGATAAGAATGCTTCGATATTATATTTTCTTTACCCTTTTGTATGGAGTTAAAGTTTGGACACTTAAAAAATCCAACATTAAAAACCTAGAAGCATTCGAAATGTGGTGTTACCGACGCATCTTGAAAATATCATGGATGGATCGCAAAACAAACGAACAAGTTCTCGAACAACTAGGAAAACCATGCGAAGTTTTAAATTCCATAAAGATCAGGAAATTGGAATACTTGGGCCACATCATGAGAGGTGAAAAGTACGAACTACTAAGGAATATAATGCAGGGTAAAATTAAAGGTAGAAGAAGCGTAGGAAGACGTAAAATCTCGTGGCTAAGCAATTTTTGTGAATGGTTTGGATGCAGTTTAATTGAACTATTCAGGCGAGTAACCAATAAAATTATAATTGCCAGAATGATTTCCAATCTCAGATAGGAGAGGAACTTAAAGAAAAATAATAACGAGCACTAGAAAAGAAGAAAAAAGATTACTGAAGGGAATCAGAGTGATAAGGTCACTAAATACATTACTGGAAGCAAAAAATGTGTCAAGAACAGCTAAACTGCGAGTCTACGGGACAGTAATCAGAGCAGTGATTTATGCCAGTGAAACGTAGATTATAAACCAGCAGAAAGAAAAGAAAGTAGAGATCTAGGAAAGAAACGTGCTTAGAAATATCTTTGGAGGAATACAAATGGCAGATAATATTTAGAGAAGACGAACCAATAAAGAAATAATGAGGATGTATAAAAAAAAACAGTAATTACGACAAAAATACGAGCCCAAAGCGCAAAACGGCTTGGTTGCATTATACGAATGCCAGAGAATCGAAATGTAAAAACAATACTGAAGCAGGGAGAAATGGGGAAAAAAGAAGAGGACGTCCAAAGAAAAGTGGTCGGAAGCAGAAAAGCAGGACTTGTCAGAAATAGGCGTGAGAAATTGAAGAAAAAAAGCAAGGACCGAAAAAAATGAAGGGAAATAACCAAGTTATTAGAAGCCAGGGGCCTACAAGGCCTCTAGCGCTGACATCCGTACAAGAAATATAACCAATTGGCAATAAAATTAAAAATTTTCGTAAACATAATATTTTATTTACCAGCGTTCACTAAAATGAAGGATTGGTAGGAGCTTCATTGTCAACAAGAAAATTTCAGAGACTCTAAACTAGTACATGGCAATCTCAGACAAAATTTTAAAATTTGTATAACAAAAAAATTATCATCATAATTTTTAAAGACTTCTCGAGAGGAAAAGGGAATAAAATAAAACAAGGATAAAAGGAGAAAATTTGTAAGCAATAAGACGTCATATACCAAAAGAAGATCTTTCGGCCTATGCTTCACATGGCCTTTAAATGACACCAGGAAAAGATAGAGCAAGCAAGCGAATGAGAAATAGTAAATCCTGGAATTAAAATAAAAAAGGGAACTAGAAAATTAAGAAGAGTATGTACCTATATAAAAAAGGAGTTATGAAAAAGAAAAATCAAATGAAACGTTTATGTGACTGTCGAAAATGATGTTATTAAAAATTCACTAAAGAACAAAGAAAAAGATTGTTTGACGGTTTTTATAATTTATCAAAAGTAAAACAAGATCAGTATATAGCAGAAACCGTCCAAGAAACGGCAATAGGAAGAACAAGAGTTAGAAAGGAAAGTGAAAAGTCTGGAAATTTACCAGAAGTTATTTTTAAACTACTGATAAAAACGAGTTTATCGATTTTAAACAAGCATATGACTCTCTAAATCAAACGAGGCTATATGAGGCCATGATAACATTAGAAATACCAGAAAATCTTATAAGGCTAGTGATAATGACACTTAGGAATACGATGAATAGGGTTAAAATAAGAGGAAGCTTTTCAAGGCAATTCACAGTGAATAGAGGTTTAAAACAAGGGGATCCGCTATCAACAAATTTATTTAACCTAGTATTAGAAGAAATCCTATTGAAATATGTCAAGCGATGTGTATTCAAACGTTTAATTTAACTTTAAAAAAATATGAACAATTGCCAAGAAAAAAAGAACTAGTCAATTTAATATATGTTCCATGGATGGCAGAGGAAAGCATTTTAAAAATTATACAATCCAGGAAGATAGAAAAGATGTGATTAGGAAGGATATCAATAGTTTTCCGGCTTATAATAGCTACTACTCCCGGGAACGTACTCTCAAAAAATACCTAAGTTCTGATCTTTTAGTAAAACAAATGTATCGACTTTATTGTGAATATTGAAAAACTAATAATATAGACCATGAAAAGGAGTCAATGTATAGAGACATATTCAATTAAGAATTTAATATTTATTTTCACGGTCCTGCAAATAACAGTTATGTTGAATGTGATCAGTTTAATGTAAGTCTAAGAAGTATGGAAAACAAGCAACCAACTAAAGAAGAAGATCAATAAGGAAAGCTTCTACTTGAGAGGGAAAAATATTTAGATTTAGCTAAGAGTGCTTATAAGCAAAAGTCATTAGACAAAGAACGAAGCAAAATAGACCAAACATTTGTGGTTGCTTCTTTGACATTGAAAAATGTTTACTAAATCTACTCCTCCGGAACGTTGTTTCGTTTTATAAATGGCAAATATAGAGCTACAACTTAACAGTGCTTAAGACTACTACAGCATGCAATGTGGGCTTTTGTTGCCTATGGAATGAGAGAGTGGCTGGTCGTATAAGAAAATGTATAAAAAAATTAATTTTTTCGCTACTAATAAAAGTAAAAATGCTTCATTTGTACAGTGATTCTTGTTTTGACCAAAACAGGACAATTGTTGTGCCCATAATGATATTTTTACTGATGCATGAGAATAAAAAAATAGGAAAAAGTTTGAAAGAGGTACTGATTTAAGGAGGAGTTCTACAAGAAATCGAAAAAACGAAATGGAAATTGAGAAACCAGAACCCATTAATTCAGGACCTTTGCCCCTAGCTGACATTTAAAGTAAAAAATTTGTTAAATTTACCATTTAACATTAGTAAATACAACAGGTAATTTTATCAAAATTTTCAAAGATCAATTGACATCGATGCTGAAACTATTTCTGTTCCAGACAATAAGACAATAGAAATAAAAAGAAGCATATTAAATTCGTTTAGGCTTTATTCGGAAAATTAAACTACATAATATGTAAAAAAACTTGTACACACAATTAAAACAAAAAACAAAAAACACAAATTCTAAAACGAGAATAATTCATCAATGTAAACAACAATATATTACGTCGACAAAGATTGGCGAAGAAATCAGTGGATTAGAGAATTTTCAAAAGTTGGAGACATGACAAAGCAAGTATAGATTTTACAGCGTATAATAAATGGATAAAAAAATAAATGAGTATATTGGTGGGTAAAGAAATACAAGGACGCAGTAGAAAAAGAAAGACTTAGTTAGGATCAAAAATTAAAGATCTTAAGATATTTACAAAAATAATATATAGATTACAAAATTGTACTTGACAAATCCTTACAAAAATTGATAAATGGGTAGCACTGTTAATTATTCAATAATTTAAAATGTTTTTACGATTCTTACGATCTAGAATTTATGTTAAAGCGTCTATACAAAGTATATGTAAAATGGATTTTACAAGTCAACATAAAGAAAACAGAATAGAACAGAAACACAAGACTACTATTTTAAAACTACTTACAGCAGCTAAGACGCACAATATGGTAGCAACAATTATGCACTTCATGATGACGTTTGATATTAAACACCAGTAATATTGACTTATTCTTATATACACCAATATACTTAATCTTTATTTTCATTTAAGGGTCAACAGATATAGAATTATCGACGGATCAATAAACAATTATCAATATTCTTTGTTTAACTCTTCTCGGAATGATTATCTATGTCCATTTGCTGATAATAAATCAGCAGCGCTATCCTAATTATTACAAAGTTATATAAAAAACAAAATGAGATAGTACTTATGTAATTAAAATTCTAGGTAATATGTTATAAAATATTTGTGTTAGGAGTATTATCTTAAGCAATTAAAATTTAAAAAATTCAATAAAATAAAATTATTTTTAAAACATAATCGTTTATCAAACAGCAATGGATATTTTTATTTTTAAATGCAACCTAATAATTTTTAAAATGGATATCATTGGAATAATATTAAAAAAAACTACTTAATCAGCTAAGACGCAGAATACATTGCAATATCTAAACAAATTATAATACTTAATTTTAACACCTCTTTTACTTACAATATGAATTTTAATTTATAGTGTTTTTTAATAAATTAAAAACGGCACATTTTCCAGAAGGATATTAGTCACATAGCTTCTCTTCTTCCTTAGTTTCACTCTTTTCAGGGGTCGCTGTTCCTTAGTCTCTGTCATCATTTATTTCTGGTCATCGAGTTTTCTTCACCTAAATCTTTTTCTCTTAAGTCCCATGTTACACAGTAATTTCATCTTTATCTGGGTTTTACTCCCCTCTCCTTGCATCAAATAATTCTAACAGCTCTAACCTTCGTCCTACGTATTTTTTATCTCTACGTATACAAAGACCATTACGGTCTTTGTTCTTAAATATTTTTTGAGGCTGTAGTCACCCCGGCTCTCTTCGTAATGAAGTCGTTTCCGATCCTGTCTCTTCTAGTTTTACCCAACATCCACCACAACATTTTTTTAGCTTTTTTTATCTTCTTTTTCTAAATCTTTTTTACAGGCAATCAATAAAGGTTTCGCTACAATCTTGTATATCTTTCCTTTTAGCCCTCAGATTACAAAGTACCTTGCTCAATTGCTTCTAGTTAGACCAGCTACCTTGTATTTGTGGGCAATTTATCTATCTAGTTTTCAATCTTTATCCTTTAACTTTTATTACTTCACTTTCTGGTGTCCTACTTGCTTTTTTTTACCTGACATTTATCTCCGTATTCATTATCACCGGTCGGTGTTGACTAGTTATACACTCACCATTTATTACTTTGCATTACCTCATTTAAAAAACTTTCTCCAAACAGCACAAATATATTTGGCTTTTTCTCCCCCCGCTACTATAGGTAACATATTTATATTAGCGACATAACTATTATAGTATATTTAACTAAGACTAATACTGCCATCCTAACCAAGAAGGCTGTATCTCAAATTTTTACAATTTTCGAATTTGCTCTTTTATATGGGTTCTTATACAATTATTAATATACCAAACAAAGCTAGAAAGCAGTAAGCGTTTATTGCTTGGTCTGGTAGACTATTAAAATTCCAGTAATTCAACTTGTTGTTAGGCATTCCTTGGTTAAAACGCAGTAAGTACCTTATACATGCCTAAAAGGTAGTATTTTCTACAAAAAATGGAGATACTGCTTTTTAATTTAGCACCTGCTTAAGTTTATCGCGACATGCCCCACCACACATTCATATCACGATATCACAATTCTTAGTTTCTGTGTGAAAACAGTGAAGCTGGAAGCATAAGTAAGTTTCTTTCAGTTTATTCTAATTAGTCACACTGTGTGTACGTGTTCATATCAATAATAAAGATTACAGTACATTTATTTAGTTCAAAAAGTTTTATGTATGTATTATTATCGACTCTATTGTTAATAGGTTTATTGTCATATTATTTTGTTACAGTTAACATTTAACCTAAAGAAATTTAAAATATGGGAAATCGTGGTAAGAAAATAATACAAATGCTGCAGACAATGGAAGTTCTCAATCCAAGTTATGGTGAGTAACCGATAGAAGGTAAAAATATATATTAACCTAGAGCCCGTTAGGCTACAAATCTCTGAAAGTGAAAATTCAGCTTTGCCAGCTACATCCACTTTAACGAGTTTTCAGGCTGATTCTGATGACTCACTTAAAGACCCTGACTTTTTGCGATCTAGTTCAGATGATAGCCTTGAATCAGAATCGGACGACAGTTCAATAGCTACTAATAAGAGTTGTAATAATAAGAACATTACTACAGCTGTTTCAATAGGTGCCATAGCTTCAGCAAGTTCTGCCGTATCTTGCCGTGAAAATTCTGATGAAACGTACAATACTTAAAAGAGAGAACTGAGACAGAGAAATAATATAACATAACAAGGCCATGTTTTGTCATATGAATGTAAAACAGTTTTTATTGAGAATCAGAGAGTAACAATAAACAAGCAGTACTGGTCGATGCATTGGCTAGAAAGACTGATTTTTGTTTGGTCAAATGTGGCAGTTAATGATGTGAAAAGAAGGCGCGGTAGTGCAAAAAGTGCTCGAAAAAGGACATTTCATTATTGTTTAAAAAGTAATGGTAAGAAGCATGAAGTGTGCAAAAAAATTTTTCTGTGCCCTCTAGGATATCATTCAAAGAACGACAAAATCATCACAAATGTAATGGTGAAAGAAGACCCTGAGAATATCTTTATTTGATAGAAGAGGAAAACATACAAAAAAAAACCGTGTAGACAGGGAATTAAAAAAAAATGTTGAATCTTTCAACCCTTCTGTGTCCCAATATCGCAGGAAACATGCTCCTCTCAAGAAATATCTTCCGAGTGATATCACCATTCGAAGTATGCATAGAGATTTTAGTACACTTCATTCAAATATAAAGTGTTCATATGAACTATATAGAAAATGTGTGTCTAAGAATTTAAATATTTCCTCTGCATCGTTGGGCCATGGAGAGTGCGAATTGCGTGAGGGCTTTAAGCTTCACAATCCTGAACATACCGAACAGTCATTATCGGAGGATTGTAGTAACTGTAACTTTTGGAAAAACACATCAAAAAATCTAAGGAAGCACGTGAAAAGTACAGAGCTTATGCAGAGCATAATTAATTATCCATCAAGCACAGTGTGTGTTTCAGCTGACTTAGAGAAGGTGATTATGTTGCCCAGAATCGATATGTTCAAAAAAGTTATGTTTTGCCAAAGAATTATAAAATAAAAGAAAATAAAAAGAAAAAAAAGAATTATAAAAAAAAAAAAACGTTTTCGGACCACACAGTCCATCATCAGGTTTTTAAAATCGAAAAGTGCCTAAAAATAAGTATAAACCATTTAGTTAAACAAACGAGATTGTGAAATTTTGACTATGGTTGAAAAGCAAAAGATGGTTATACTTACTAGGTCACAATGCCTGAGCCACCAAAATACTAGGGTAAAAACCCTTTAAATTACATTTTGTTATGAAAGATTGTACATTGTGTTGTAAAATAACTGTGATGTTCAGTATTAAATTAAATTTGACTAGAGGTAACACATGGCTCAATCGGGTTCCAGAGCCGGTGAGAGAGAACCTCTGCACTCGGAGAACAGCTGGGAACTGATTGACAAGATACTTTTGAAGGATGAAGATAACAGAATGTCAATGCAACAAAAACTATATTAGTTGTACATAGTATTACTACAGCCAAAAGATTCAAAAAGTTTTGATGATTTTAAAAAAATAACAACAATCTAGGTGTTGGGATTTAAAAACTTTTTTATTTATTAATTTAGGGTATAAAAGATGTGAAATCAATGATGGTTTTATAGTCATGATTAATAGAATGACCTGTGCCTTAGGCAACTTATGTTGCTTTTCGTCGTACATACGACTATCTTGTCAATCAGTTCCCAGCTGTTCTCCGAGTGCAGAGGTTCTCTCTCACCGGCTCTGGAACCCGATTGAGCCATGTGTTACCTCTAGTCAAATTTAATTTAATACTGAACATCACAGTTATTTTACAACACAATGTACAATCTTTCATAACAAAATGTAATTTAAAGGGTTTTTACCCTAGTATTTTGGTGACTCAGGCATTGTGACCTAGTAAGTATAACCATCTTTTGCTTTTCAAACCATAGTCAAAATTTCACAATCTCGTTTGTTTTAACTAAATGGTTTATACTTATTTATAGGCATTTTTCGATTTTAAAAACCTGATGAGGGACTGTGTGGTCCGAAAACGTTTGTTTTATTGATGTGACCCTTTTAAGGGTTTTTTAAATAAATATACCCATTTACAAAGATTAACCTCTTTTTGTTATACGTGGTATACAGCCAGCTACAGGAATTTTCCTTGTGGATTTTTTTAAAGAATTATAGTTTTCAAAGAAACTTTTGTAGTCGTCGGAAAGAAACAGAAAATCAAATCCTCTGCGTGCCTCTGGCATGAATACATATCAGGAAGGAAAAAGGAAGACTTGATAAGTACATTTCAGGCATTTATGTTGCACTTGACAACTGTGCGGGCAAAACAAGAATTGGCTAGAGAAGATAGCATTCTAAGTAAAATTATAAAACTAAGAGAGAAATGCGCCATAAAAGCTAAAAAATTCTTTATGATGCCTGTATCCTAAATGAAACTGAAAACTAGAAACATATTAGCTTGTTATCGCATTTATAAAAGCTCTTTATGAAAATACTTACTTACAGGCTAGGACCTAAGCTCGATTTTTACCAATCACTAAAGCAAGCCAGATTAAAGGTTGGCTTTGGAACGAATGACGACCTACAAATAATAAAATCCTTAAAATAGAAAGGCATTAAAAATAACTTTAATTATTAATTAAGCTTTATTTTGAAGAATAAAGATATACAAATGTGTCTAAAACGTAGAGTTTATGACAAATGTATCTTGCCTGTAACTACATATGGACTGGAGACCATGGCCTTCACAAAGAAAACCTTAGAGCAGCTCAGTACAACCCAAAGAGCAATGGAGAGGGCCATGCTAGGGATTAGTTTAAGAGACAGGATTCGAAATAACGTCATTCGTGAAAGAACAAAAATTACTGATGTCACAGAACGTATTGCAAGGCTCAAGTGGCAATGGGTCGGACACGTTGCCCGAGATAATCCCGAAAAATGGACACAAAGATTAACAAACTGGAGACCAAGAGAGAAC